GAGAATCCCACTGATATAGAAATTAGTTTTTTAGGAAAAGTTAGTTTCCTATTTTATCACCCTGTAAATTAGCTCTGTAATTCTATATAAAGTTGTGTATATGCTCCYTCCAAGACAATACAATCAATTCATTTTTTCTCTCAAATTTTCACAATTTCTTACATGTCTGAGAAAGAAAGTTGACTCTGATTTCCTGCTTTCACCATGGGAGTGAAACTTAGGAGATAGGAACTGCCTTCCCAACTTTATGAGTAATACCGAGAGGATCCCTTCTGAATGGTGGACACGGTTCTGGAGCATGAAATTCACCTAGTATTGGAGTTTTGAAGAACTATAGTTTTCTTAAGTTTAAGTGGATCATGATCTTACTACAATTTATAATTAGCTATTGGGATTGCTATCAGGAATATCTGAATCTTTGGTAATATTTAAGTTATTCAAACCCGCTGGAAGCTTTTCATTTAGGGCCGTTTATTTCTTTCTTTCTTTTTCTTCTCTTTTATTACATTCCCTGTTTTATCTTTTACCATTGCTTGGTTGATGTCACCTATGTTATTGTTTTACCATTGAGCTGCAAATTTCCCCTGTTACTTCTTTATACTTATTAGAGAGGTTAACATTCTTGGCAGAGTTTTTTCAGAATATGTTGGTAGAGACCATACAATTCATGGAAATTTTAAATTTGAAAGATAGTGTTGAGAAGGACACCTTTTTCCGTAGGCTTCCAAACTTGGCTGAGAAACTACCTCGCCAAATTGTTCTAAAGAAGGTCAGATGCTTGAAACAAGAATTAAAACCTTGATATGTATTATCATAGTGTAACATTTTCCTGTTGCCTTTTTTATTTATTTTTTGATAAATAGCTGTCGCCTTTTTTATTGAGGGGTGCCAACTTGCAATTTGATCATTGGAGTTCTGCAGCTACTCCCTTTATTAGCTTCGGCTTTAGAATTTGGTTCAGCTGTTGCTCCTGCCTTAACTGCATTGCTCAAGATGGGCTCATGGCTTTCAACTGAAGAATTCAATGTTAAGGTTATTTTCTTTTTAATGCTCATTATTAATTTCCTTGTGATGTTTACATCCTTAGGGCAGGTGGAAACTGTTAATTCGTTCTTGTTAATTATAGGTGCTACCAACTATTGTGAAACTCTTTGGCTCCAACGACCGAGCTATTAGGGTCAGCCTTCTTCAGCACATAGACCAATTTGGAGAATCATTATCAGCTCAAGTTGTAGACGAGCAAGTATGTGGCCTACGGTGACTGTTTTTCTCATCAAATCAAGCTAAATCCGACTTTATCAGATTCAAATGTAGATCCTCATAGATTTTTCTTTGTTTGCTATCAGATTAGAAATCCTAAATTTTCTAGGTAATGCTTGCAATTAGGTATACCCTCATGTTGCCACTGGGTTTTCTGATACTTCTGCTTTTCTTCGGGAATTGACATTAAAGTCTATGCTCATTCTTGCTCCTAAGGTATGCATATCTGTCACTTATTAGTCATTTTAATCATAAATTCTTTAGTAAGGAAAGAAGCAAAGAGGCGATTATTGAGACCATTGTGGCTGGAGCTTTTTGCTGTCTTCTAATGATTTTTGAAAAATTGGAAGGAAGTGACTGGTACAGAGTGTCACAAGGCCATTGCAAGCTCCCTTTGGGTTCCTCTAGCCAATGATTACATCAAACTAAATTTTGTGGGAGTATTGCTGAAAACCCATGTCCTTCTGGTATTGGAGGTGTGTACAGAAATGGTGAAGGGAAAATAATTGGCATGTACTCTGGTCCAATTGGGGTGGGCAACTCACTGAGGGGCTGAGATTCTAGCCGTTATGGAGGGAGTGCAGAAGGCAAAAGAGTTGAATTTGAGCAAACTGGTAATAGATGGTGATTCAAAGATGGTGGTGGATTGACTGCAAAAGGAATGGGTTTCTGGATCTTTAATGGTGAGAGGAATAAGTTCAAGTGGCTGACACAGAATATGGACGTGAAAGTTAACTGGGTCAAACGGACTGCTAATGTTTTTACCGATGTGCTTGCAAAACAAGGGGTGGGAAGAAGTCAATTATTTTGGGCTCAGTTGTAACTGTTGTTTTTTTGAGAGTTAAGAAAGTTTACCTCTCATCTTCTTATAATTATGCTGTTTAATCAATGAAAATTTTCTGTTACTGATAAAAAAAAAGATATTACTAGTTTTACAACTCAGTATTTCTCATTCTTCGTCTTGCAGACCTTGCAAGACTGTTAATTTCTTGTAAGAGTCTGTTAATTTCTTAACTTCTTTCCCGGGACTATTTAGGTCTTGCACCATTTCATTACTGAGGAATATGTTCTGTTTTTCCCTTTTCTTATGGAAGCACATGATTTTCCATGGGTTCCTGAGTATCTAAATAGTTACTTTCATTTTGGCCTGGACAGCTGTCTCAACATACTATTTCAGGATCATTGCTCAAATATCTTTCCAAGTTACAGGTATTTCCTGAGACTGAAGTTTTATTTATTGTTTTTGTTTGATCTTGTGTTTTTGGATTTCTTTTCATGCATTTAAAAAAATATGATTTTTAAATTGCTATAATCAGAAAAAAATGAATGATTGTGTGTTTCTGTATATTGTTTAATCAGTGGTTTTAATAATTTCTTTCCTGTATAGGTAGATGAAGAACCAGCCGTTAGAACAAATACCACCATCCTGCTTGGCAATATTGCTGGATATCTTAATGAGGGGGTTGGTATCTTGGACCTATTACAATAATCTTTCTCTACTTTGAGATATCATGCTTTAGGGTGTTCAGTTCACAAAATTGTTTATCCATATATCTTTCCAAAAAAATAAAGTTGACATTTGTAATGCAGGCAAGGAAGAGAGTTTTAATCAATGCATTTACAGTTCGTGCATTGCATGATACTTTCTCTCCTGCCCGCGGAGCAGGTACATCAACTTTTATGTTGCCATTTTTCCACATTAACTTTATAAGTGGTCTTCAATGTAAAATCTTTACTCCTTTTTTTTTTTGTTTCTGTTGAAATCTGTTAGTTAGTTAGTTAGTTTCCTTAATTAATTAATTAATTAATTCTTTGTTATTTTTCTGTTCTTTAGTGCCGCAGGGGCATTCTTGTAATCTTACTTTATTTTATTATTAGCTGGGACACCCTAATATAAATACTAATGACCGGTGCCACCAGTCAACTTTTTGATCCCAGAATTCTCTTCGTCTCTCTTCCTTTCTTCACCCTTTCTTTTCTGTTTCTCTGATATGTTCAACCCAGAAGACATGGTATCAGAGCAGGTTTTCTGGGGTTAGAAGCAGTGCGACAAAGTCTTCTCATTTTCTTCTTCCTCAATCTCTCAGTTCCTCCTCTACTGTGGATCGAATCTGATTAGGGAGTGGATCGAACTGATCTGAAGGGATTTCTTTTAGGTTCTCTTCCTTTCTTTCTTGGTCGTGTGCCAAGAAAACCCTAAAAGAAGGGAACTCTGATGCTGTGAAGGCAAGTCTTCTTAATCCTGTGGATCGTGTGATCCTTTCTTGTACCCAGGTAAGTGGGTTTTAGAGGTCTGGATGACCTGCAACCAGTGTTTTTTTTTTGGAACTGTGGATCGGGTGATCCTGTTTCTTGTACCCAGACAACTGGGTGGTGTTGGTCTGAATGACCTGTGATTGTGTGACAGTGGTTTGCCAATGTCTCTTGGGGAATTATAGTGGTTGTGTGCTCAAGTAGTTGTTGAAGGGTTATATTATAAGGGCTGTCTAGTTCCTGAATTGCCTCCTTATATGTGTGTGGTGTTCCTAAGATCTGTTTTTTGACTGAACTAAACTGGGCTTCCCGTGAAACTGTGAACTGTGAACTGAACTCGGCTGAACTGTGGCTGAATTGTGGCTGAAGTGAACTGAATTGAACTGAACTGTCAAATCAGTCCTTATATCATGTCATCTGAGGATTCTAGTGTGTCTAGTGGACCTTCCAATCAAGGTGGAGTGAGTGGAGGATTTGATATGAGCTTCCCCATGGCTGTAATACCTTTTGATGGTCTCAATTACCTAGAATGGTCAGGGAATTAAACTGTACATAACTTCCAGGGGGAAGGTGGGCTATTATTAATGGTAAAACCAAAGAACCGAAGTCTCAGGGTGCAGAGCATGATAGGTGGGATCAGGAAAACAGCATGGTGATGTCATGGCTGCTACTTTACATACTGCCTCCGGTCAGGAAGACATTCATGTGGGCTGAAACAGCTGTTGAAATTTGGGAGCAAGCAAAATCTACTTATTCAGAGCAATGTCACTATGCCAAAATATACCAGTTGCAAGTTGCCTCCTCTACTTGTAAGCAGGGGGAAAGGAGTCTCTCATCATATTACTCAGATTTGACCTCGATATGGAAAGAACCAGACCACTATCAGAACATAGACTGGAAGTGTGATGCTGATGCTAAGGTCTACAAATCTCTGGTTTCCCAATAATGGGTCTTTGCCTTCCTCTTGGGGCTGAACCTAGTATATGAGTCTCTTAGAGTTCAGATATTAGGAAGTAAAGTTCTTCCTTCAGTACAAGAAGTGTATGCCCTAGTACAATCCGAAGAGAAGAGGCGAAATGTGATGAATAACTCAGAGGGAGAGCAAATTGCCTTCGTGGCTCTTGACAGTAAGGCCGACTAGAAATAAGAGAGAAAGGGAAGAGAAGAAGAAGAGAGAAGGTAGAAGAGAAGAGGAGAGATTGGCGACGATGGAAAAGTGCAGGCGGTGCTAACTTCTATTAATATTTATAGGGCGTCTAAAATAAAAGGGAAAAAGACCCTTGTGCCCCTGCTGTAAGTAAAGTACAATAACAAAAAATAAAAAGGCTTTAAATCAACCAAACAGACCCTAACAAGACAAACAATAATAGACAAGAAATAAAATAAACTATTTCAACACTTCCCCTCAACTTGGAGCATAGATGTCAATCATGCCCAACTTGTCACACAAATCATTATGCCGCACATGTTGAAGACCCTTGGTGAAGATGTTTGCAAGTTGTTCCTCTGAGCTAACATATGGAGTGAACACTTCTCCACTCACAAGTTTTTCTCTAATAAAATGCTTGTCCACTTCAATGTGTTTCGTCCTATCATCGAGGAATGGATTAATAGCAATGTTGATAGCAGATTTATTGTCGCAATAGAGTGACATAGGGTTGTTAACTACAAGACCCAGTTCACCTAACTCCATGAGACATAGCTCTGTATTCTGCTTTAGCACTGGATCTGGCCACCACATTTTGCTTCTTACTTCTCTAGGTGACCAAGTTACCTCCTACAAAGGTACAATACCCACTGGTAGACTTTCGGTCATCGACTGCTCCTACCCAATCAACATCAGTATATACTTCTACCTTTAAATGTCCATGTTTCTAGAACAACAAACCATCTCTTGGAAACTTCTTGAGGTATCTAAGGATCCTCTCTACAGCTTCAAAGTGAGTTGTCCTAGGGTTGTGCATGAACTGACTAAGGACCCCCACTGCATAAGCAATATCAGGTCTGGTTATAGACAAATATAAGAGTCTCCCTACAAGTCTCTGAAACTTCTTCACATCATTCAAGAACTCCCCCTGATTGTCTCCCAACTAATGGTTAGGTTCAATTGGTTTCACCCCTAGCTTGCCTGTATCTTCTAGTAGATCCAGTACATATTTCCATTGGGAAATAAAGATGCCCTTTTGAGAGCGGGCAACTTCATTTCCAAGGAAATAACGTAAGGGTCCTAGATCTTTCATCTCAAATTAAGTGGCTAAGAATTTCTTCAGTTTCTGTATTTCAGTCTTCTAGTCTCTTGTGATCACTATGTCATCCACATACAATTAAAGTTGCAATTTTCCCTTCACCTTTCTTCACAAACAGAGTATGGTCTGACTGGCATTGTTTGAACCCCATCTGGTGAACTGCTAAGTGGAACTTACTAAATCAGGCCCGAGGTGATCGTTTCAACCCATATAAAGATTTTTTTAACCTGCACACCTTCTACTCACTGCCTTTGGCACAAAAACCTGGAGATTGAGTCATGTACACTTCCTCTTCTAAGTCACCATTCAAGAAAGCATTCTTAATGTCCAACTAGTGAAGTTCCCAGTCAAGATTTGATGCCAATGAGAGAAGAATCCTAATAGAGTTCATCTTGGCTATTGGAGCAAATGTCTTTGCATAGTTTACTCCATATACCTGTGTAAAACCTTTTGCCACCAATCTGGCCTTGTACTTTTCAACAGTTCCATCAGCCTTATGCTTCACTGTGAACACCCACTTGCATCCCATTGGTTCCTTCCCTTCAGGAAGATCCATCAACTCCCAAGTGCCATTTTTGTGCAATGCATCAATTTCTTCCTTCATTGCATCTGTCCATTCAGGTTTAGATAAAGCTTTTACCACATTCTTAGGAATAGAGATACTGCCAACAGAAGAGAGGAATGCATGATATGAAGGTGAAATATGGTTATAGGACACAAAGTGAGAGATAGGATGATTAGTGGTACAGGATCTAACACCCTTTCTCTTAGCAGTAGGAACATCAAGATCATTAATGACATGGGAATCAACATTGAGAGGTTCAAGCATATCAATAGGAACAAGTGTACCTATCTGATGAGGAGGATCTGCCTCCGGAGAATCCGATGATGTTGGTTGCATAGTGTCAGGTTCTACGACTCTTGAACTCTGCTGGCTTTTGTGGCAACAAAGAAAGTCACGGAATGGAGGATCAGGAAAAGGAGGTAATTGAGTCTAAGTCTGGGTGTGTTTCTCCTCAATCCTATTTTCCCCCTGAGGAGAAATCGAGAGGAAAGGTTAATTCTCAAAGAAGGATACATCTACAGAGACATAGTACTTGCGTGATGTGGGATCATAGCAACGATACCCCTTTTGAGATAAAGGGTAACCAAGGAAAACACAAGGATCAAGTTTACCCCGAGTAGGGGACAAGTTATGAACAAAACAATGACACCCAAAAACACATATTAGAATGGGGGACATTGGGGCTGTAGGAATCAAAAGTTGATGTGGGGCCTTATACTCTAGTAACCGAGATGGCATACGATTGATGATGTATGTAGCACATAGAACAACATCCATCCAAAAGCGTTTTAGAACATTCATATGGAGTAATAAGCCACGAGCTACTTCGAGAAGGTGACAGTTTTTTCTTTTAGCAATGTCGTTTTGCTGGGGTGTCCTAGCACAAGAGCTTTGTTGAAGAGATCCACACGAAGCAAAGAACTCCATGAGATCACTATGGAAGTACTCTTTTGCATTGTCCATTTGGAAAATATGAATTTCAGTTTGGAATTGAGTGAAACCATGCATTGAAAGTCTTTCACAATTTTGGCCACTTCATCTCTAGATCGCATAGGGTAAACCCAAGTATATCTAGAGCAATCATCGATCAAAGTAATGAAGTACTTATATCTAGCCTCAGTAGGTAGAGTAACAGGGCCCCAAACATCAGAATAGACAATATGAAATGAAAATTCAAATCTTTTATTTCTTAAAGGAAAAGAACTTCTACAATGTTTACTCAATTGACATGTCTAACACTGCAACTTACTAACTGACAAAGACTTAAACAACTCTGGAAACATAACTTTTAATGACTCAAAAGAAAGATGACCAAGACAATTGTGCCATAAATAGGCTTGACTCTCACTGGATGAACTCAAGGACTCTGTAGCCACAATACCAGCTTTATTCTCCAACACGTTGAGACCATCCACCATGCTTCCTCTACCAATCGTCTTCCCCGAGGCCAAATCCTGAAACACACATGAAGACGGAAAGAAAGTAACTGAACAGTTCAAAGAGTGAGTAATACTGCTAATGGAGAGTAAATTTATAGGCAATTTAGGAACATGCAACACATTAGAGAGGGTAAGGCCGAGTGGGAGAGATATGGTTCCTTGG